CCCTGTTGAAAGTACTGTACTTGCATTCGGTGTCTCTGAGCACTGAACTGAAAAAGGCAAGCGGCTGCAAGACCCTGCAGCAGGAGGCAGAGGGCCAGCAGTTGTTGGTGCATCCAGGGTGCGGCCAGCGTCATCCAAGGGCTGCAACATGTCCAAACAAATAAATAAAATGTAATCTCACACTTCTGTTTAATCAGTTTGACGTTTATTTAGCTGTGTGAAAACCCCAGAGGAACCCTCCCCGAGGGATTAATAAAGTTTCAATTAATCTAATCGAATAACTTTAATCTCAACCAAACCAATTAACTCAAGAACAAATAAAAACACTGAAAAACACCAAACAATTACATTTTTAGGTTATCTAAGTGACTTATAGATCATGTTTAACCCAAGTAGCGAAAGATCATGGGGGTTTGAAAACAATGTGCCGGGAGTCCACTGTTTTCGCCAGAGCAGATATTTGAAGTTTACACAGCTACATTCTTGCCTGAAAATACGTTCAAACTTGCAGCCCAGAAAGAGTGAAAAGAGTAAAATTAAAACTAAGTAGCTGCCGCCATTGTTGGAAACTGGAATTGGCTGGGCAGCGCTGTGAATTCTGGGATATGGCTTTTACATTTTGTTGTTCGGGTGGAAAATCAGGAGAACGGTGGCTCTGGGAGGTTTTCGGGAGGGGCACTGAAATTCAGGACACTCCTGGAAAAATCGGGAGAGTTGGTATGTATGCCCCAGGTGCGGCTTGTGTAGAGATGCCATATAGGTCCATATATATTTGGACACTGACACAAGTTTGTTTGTTTTTATCGCATTCCTGAAACATTATCCAATTACAGTTATATAATGGATATGGACATAATGTGCAGACTCTCAACTTTCACTTGAGGGTATCCATATTCAATTTGGAAGAAGGGTTTAGGAGTTTCAGCCACACTCTTTTTAAAGTGATCACAAGTAATTTGACAATAGACTCAAACATTATTTCATGGGCAGGTGTGGGCAATTCCTTCATTATCTAATTATTAATTAATCAGATAAAAGGCACTGGGGAACTCAGCAACACAAAACGACCTGGACATCCACGGAAGACAACAGTGGTGGATGATCACAGAATTATTTCCATGGTGAAGAGAAACCTGTTCACAAAAGCTGGGCAGAATTCTTCTTTGCAGAACCTCTTGAGTTCTAACAGGTTGGATGGCGAGCATTCAGGCCAATTTAAGATGCTAACTCATGTTTAAGCCTGGACTCTGAGCACCTCAAGGACATTCACAGACAGGCCTGTGAAGCACTGAATACTTTCTGGATGCACTGTATGACGAGGCTGGATGATTTCACAGTGTTTGCATGTTATACCCACATAGCTACATCTTAGCCACATCATTTCCCCTTTTCTTCATGTCTGCACTCAAACCCAAAGTTTCTGAGGCTTGACTGCAAAGAACATTTTCATCAATACACACATTTTGTGCGCTAACATCAGTGCAGCTTTTTTGTACAGCCTGCTAAAATATGACTTAAAACATCTTTTTGTTCAGAAATGTTTTTTTATTTCATGACAACATTTTTGTTTTTATGCAGATAGATTATGCTGCCATTAGTTTTTTTCTAGGTTCATCTTTAATACTTGAATCATGCCTGCTTACACTCCAGTTTTACTCTTAAGTGTAAAAACCAGAACATGTCAAGTAAAGTAGATCAGCACCTTGAAATGACCTGGTTTTCTACGACATATTTTTAGAGAAAGACGTCAACAACCGTGAGCATCATGGAGCAAGTCGCTTATGCTTTCAGTTCAAGGGCGAGTCCACAAGCGGTTTATAAAGAGATGTCGTGGATTACAGTGTTGTTTAGCAATTTTAGTCTATAAGCCAAACAAAAAACTCACAATAACTCTTCAACCTGTAACTGAACGACTGCAACACACTTCTTCTGAGAGCCGATAAAACCTTCATGAATCTTTCGATCAATATCAGACCTTTGAGTGCAAAAGCAGGTTTAGTCTGTTAATTAAAACAGATATGTGAAAGGTCATAGGTCACTCACCACAACAGGACGACATGATCAGAGCAAGCCAGAGAGAGACGGAGAGCAACACATTCATCCTGGACGAGAGACACAAACTGACTGAGACAGACAGAGAGAGAGAGGGGGCGTGTCTAAATAGAAACTCTCCAAACGAGAGAAAACTTACAGCTTTTAACGAGCCTCAGCTTTGTGAGTCGGACCCAACAGGCTTTTTAAGATGAGGCCACTGAACTTAAAGAAAGATGTAAGCCCTGATAATAAAACATAAGGCAGGTCAGAGCTGTTCAAAATAAACAAACAATCACTCGAATAGTTTCAAAAATAAAGTCTTTTATTTTGTCTTTTTTATTACAACTTTCATTGCAGATAAAGCTTCTGTCTTTGGCTCCACCCACAATCAGTTCCAGATTTGATGGACAACCAATCCCAGCAGGAGCATCAGTTTCAGCTGACCAATCCCTGAGGCCTGAGAGAGGTCACACACAAACACACAGGCAGAAAGGTTCAAATTTCACGCCATAAACTTTATTGTTTTCATACTGAGTAAACTTAAACTGGCCACTGGCAGCCATGCACGCCCAAATTATGGAGACACGTGTTACACACATGGATGCATGCGTCCTCACATATGTGGCGCTATGATAAAGATAAAGACATGAAAATCGTATTTTATGCTCAAAGACACTTTCTTTTGGAAAGGCCACTGTTAATGTCGATTGTACTGTTCGCCAGCAGGGGGCACTCAGTCTCGAACGCATCGGTAGCTGGCGCTTCACGAATGTTAGTCAGTAGTGAAGATGCAGCGTACGGCCCGCGCAGAAAGAACTGATTGACTGTTTTTCTACAGGTAAGCTGGGTGGGATGTTATAAAAGTGACAGACCACAG